TATGTTACTGTATGTCAGCAGGTTAACACCCCGAAGAACTAAAACACCACATCTTTAAACTAAAATTTCATCAAACTGAAACCATCGTATTTTTCAGCAACAGACAGACACAAAAATCGACAATCCAACCAATATGTGTAAAATACCTCTCAAAGATGTAAGAGAGATTTGTGGTGGCAAATTAGAATGAGAATAACCTATAACCTATAATCTAATAAAATACTTTTCTAACAAACTGGAGTATATCAAGACCGTGAACTACAAATTGATGCCACCATCCGCTAAAAAATCTGCTAAAAATGATTTACGCCACAGCTAAAAAATACTGAGTTACATATTTTCACTTTGATTAACACTTACATTGAGTAGTATAAAACAAGTTTTTCTTCTTAATGGAAACACTAGCGCTCAAAGACAGGGCTTGTTTATGCGTCTATTGTTGTGTAAACTATGCACAGTGCACTCTAAGGCTAAACACTTCATAATTCATGTTACACAATAGGTTTAAAACATCAACAAGAATTATTATGTTTGAATGGCAACTAATAAAACTACTAGAAATAGGAAAGAGCGTATATAATGAAGTGAAGAACTAAGAAAACTGCCTTGTATTAGGAGCAGAAAATGCTTTGGAAAATTATGCTCAAAAGTACCATGAAAAACAGGCATTCTGACAGTGAACGGGGTCACCTCTCCACAGATCTGGCTTGTAAATTGGTCTGGTGTAGTGGGGATTTTTTAAGTGGGGGTACGCAATTCGTCATTGTCCCTCCTAAATTAATTTCGAGTACAAACATTAAGGCGCCAGCCCAGTAAAAATCTGTAATATTTGATGTTTTTTTACTCAAAATGATGCAGAATCGTGTTAATAACATTAACACCATTCATCAACTACAGAACATAAATCATAGACCACAACATATGAACCAGGACTAAACCAGGACCAAACTGGGACTAAACCAGGACTAAAACAGAACTGAACCAGGACTAAACCAGGACTAAACCGGGACTAAACCGGGACTAAACCAGGACTAAACCTGGACTAAACCAGGACTAAACCTGGACCAAACCAAGACTAAACCAGGACTAAACCGGGACTAAACCAGGACTAAAACAGAACTGAACCAGGACTAAACCAGAACTAAACCGGGACTAAACCAGGACTAAATCTGGACTAAACCAGGTCTAAACCAGGACTAAACCAGAATTGAACTATGACTAAAACAGGACTAAACCAGGAGTGAACCAGGACTAAACAAGGACTAAACCAGGCACTAAACCTGGACCAAACCAGGACTAAACCAGGACCAAACCGGGACTGAACCAGGACTAAACTGGGACTAAACCAGGTTTAAATCAGGACTAAAATAGAATTGAACTACGACTAAAACAGGACTAAATCAGGACTGAACCAGGACTAAACAAGGACTAAACCAGGACTAAACCGGGACTAAACCAGGACCAAACCAGGATTGAACCAGTACTGAACCAGGACTGAACCAGGTCTGAATCAGGACTAATCTTGGACTTTAGAGTGAGAGACAGAACCCTGAGCCCGTGGAGCAGGGTGTCTGCAAGTGCTTATCCCTGTGGGTCACGGAGCTCTGCACCGGTTCTTTCTACAGTCACCTGACTGTTTACGCAGGCGCACCTCTGGGCCCATCCCGACACTCAGTCCTGGTTCAGTCCTGGTCCCTCATGTCTCAGGTCTCTATAGGACAGTACTACAGATATCATAAGCCTGTGCAGGTTGTTTTCACCGTTGCCAGTAGTTTGACATTTAAGATGTAGCTATTTTATATTTGTTAATTTTTTATATCTCATGTCGGGAGAAATGGGTGGACGGCGTACCCCCACATACCACACCCACTACACCCCTGGTCTGTTGGCATCGGCTGCTTGTGTACATGGAGATAGATACGTTTAAAGCCATACTGTGGAAAATTCCAGGCCAAGCAATAGCATCTCCAAGGAAACAAGTGGGTGAGGTATCTTTGAAAAGCCAAGCAACGCACCTTAAAATTGTTGCTGCCTTTTGGAGAATTTTGAAATAGAGATTTAAGAATACCTGCGGTCAACCGTTTGCTTAATCACAATAACACAAAACAAAATGCAACTCTGAATCGTTTAAGCCTGAGTTTAGGATTCAGTTTTTTTTGGCGAGCCTGGGTGGCCACTATATTTATTTGGTCTGTCTGCAGTGTGACAGGGAAGTTTTAACAAGCCTAGTCTCTGCATAGACCACTCATTATAGATGGGAAAAGAGCGTCTCTGCTAATGGGAACAAAAGTGTCACTTCCTTAATAAATACACAATGGACAGACAGCCGGACCCACTGACAGTCAGGGACAATAAACAACCATTTTACATAGTCTGAAAAGAGGCTAAAAATAACCCAAAAAGTGGCAAAGCTGTGACTGGAAATACAAAGGCGAGCTTTCTATTGTGACTACTACTTAAACTCTATTCTTCAGGTATTAACTCAATTTACTTTATGTACGCCATTCTACCTTCATTAGCCTACTGAATATAAATGTAATTAAGAAATGGAATGGAAAATAAGCAGAAAAATACAATTATGAGCACTGAGTTAGGGAAAATGTAGCAGTCTGTAGCTAACATTGTTTTTATTTACAGATTTTTTCATAGCTGTGACAACAAAAACACACACACAGCGGGAGAAAAATGTGAACTTAGTACAAAAATGTTCAAAATTTGTCACGATATTGAAATTTCAAACTCAATTTCTATACCAAGGAATAAACTTGATTGTGATTTTCAACATTAAACCATAGTACTTTCTTTTATATTACCCTGTGGACTTATTATTCTTATACTTATTATTATTTGTGTAACCCGTCAGTCGTCCAGGTAGGTTCCATAGTTGGTCCAAGTGCATGGAGTAAGAAAGCTTTCAGAAATATCTGTGTGCATACGATAGAAATTCGTGCATATTTGGCTGTAGTTGAGCATAAAATAAATATTTGTAAACTCCTGAATGAGTCCAGTCGTAGATAAAAACTATTGTGTGTATTTTATCCATAAGAATAACAAGTTGAAAATTTACGACATCAAGAATTACAATCACGAAATGAAATTTAGGATTACGCTTTATTCAGTGCGAATATGAATTCACAGACGCGACTCTGCTGTCAAAAATACATCATCACTTTACAGGCCTGATTTACTGAGCAGAAGAAACATCGATCAAGATGAGACTTTTGCGGACTGAACCAGGACTGAACCAGAACTAAACCAGGACTGAACCAGGACTGAACCAGGACTGAACCAGAACTAAACCAGGACTGAACCAGAACTGAACCAGAACTAAACCAGGACTGAACCAGGACTGAACCAGGACTGAACCAGAACTAAACCAGGACTGAACCAGAACTAAACCAGGACTGAACCAGGACTGAACCAGAACTAAACCAGGACTGAACCAGAACTGAACCAGAACTAAACCAGGACTGAACCAGAACTAAACCAGGACTGAACCAGACTGAACCAGGACTGAACCAGAACTAAACCAGGACTGAACCAGAACTAAACCAGGACTGAACCAGGACTGAACCAGAACTGAACCAGGACTGAACCAGGACTGAACCAGAACTAAACCAGGACTGAACCAGGACTGAACCAGAACTAAACCAGGACTGAACCAGAACTGAACTAGGACTGAACCAGGACTGAACCAGGGATAAACCAGGACTGAACCAGAACTGAACTAGGACTGAACCAGGACTGAACCAGAACTAAACCAGGACTAAACCAGAACTAAACCAGGACTGAACCAGGCCTGAACTAGATCTAAACAAGGACTGGACCAGAACTAAACCAGGACTGAACCAGAACTAAACCAGGACTGAACCAGAACTAAACCAGGGCTGAACCAGAACTGAACCAGAATTAAACCAGGACTGAACCAGGACTGAACCAGAACTGAACCAGGACTGAACCAGGACTGAACCAGAACTGAACTAGGACTGAACCAGGACTGAACCAGAACTAAACCAGGACTGAACCAGAACTGAACTAGGACTGAACCAGGACTGAACCAGAACTGAACTAGGACTGAACCAGGACTGAACCAGAACTAAACCAGGACTAAACCAGAACTAAACCAGGACTGAACCAGGACTGAACTAGATCTAAACAAGGACTGGACCAGAACTGAACCAGGACTGAACCAGAACTAAACCAGGACTGAACCAGGACTGAACCAGAACTAAACCAGGTCTAAACCAGACTGTTGGGAGGGGCTCGGAGGTGCGCTCATGTAGACCGTCAGGTGACCATGGGTGAAAGGACCTGCACAGAGCTCCACGCCCCATGGATCTAAGAGCAGCAGTCGACCGATCACATAAAGCACGAGGTTCTGAGCTTTACGCATTCTCCCTCTCTCTCAAATCCACTGTTAGTCTTGGTTTAGGCCTGGTTTAGACCTGGTTTAGACTGGGTTTACTCCTCCTGGTTCAGTCCTGGGATCAGACCTGGGACCAGTCTTGGGATCAGTCCTAGTTCCGTCCTGGGATCAGTCCTGGTTTAGTCCTGCTTTAGTCTTGGTTCAGTCCGTATGCGGCGCAAAAGTCCAGCATCTCGATCGATGTTTCTTCTGCTCAATAAATAATGCCTGTGAAGTGATGACATATTTTTGACCGTAGAGTTAATTATAATTTTTCATTTCGTGATTGTAATTCTTGATGTCGTAACTTCACAGTTCGTATTCTGATGGATATAATACACACAACACAATTTATGTACAACTGGACTCATTCGAGAGTTTACGAACATTAATTTTATGCTCAACTACAACCAAATATACACGGATTTGAATTTAATATTTTTGAAAGCTTTCTTACTCCATACATGCGCCTATACTAGTCTGTGTGCTCTTTCTGAACTACAGTATATTCTTAACCCCAGAAATAACCCATGCTTGTCATAAGAGGTGATATTTAATTTCATTTGTATTTTTAATTAGAATTTTTGTTGCTTACCTGTTACATCTGGGCCCGCTGTATCCAGGTGGGCACTGGTCACACATCATCTCTCCCTCCGATCCCATGTGGCACGTCGGACTGAAGCTTTTTACATTCCCACGGTGATGGCGGATGGGTTGGTTTGATTGCAGAAAGGGAGCATTTCGGTAGCGTTGTCCAAGCGTTAGAAAAGGCAGGAAGAGAAAAACACAGAGGAGAGGACGTAGGCGAGTTAGAGCCATGATTCCCCCTCCGAAACAATCAAAACAAAAGCATCTATGCTGCTGTGGCCCCTGAATATGCCCTTGCCCCCTGGAAACTGTGTGTGAAATGAACTAAAAGTGTGCAACAGTCTAACTAGCCCACCCACTTCCATAAACTATAGATAGCTCTGCTGGCTCAGGTTCCTGCAGGCCTTCACTGGGGAGCAAGAGGATCAGGATAATGGAGCTCAGACAGTGTTAAGTCAGAGTGTATGCTAAGAAAAACAACAAAAATATCAAAAAGTGATGCCATTCAATTAAAATCCAGAGTTAAATAAGGTACTTTAAAGATACAGTATGTAATATGTAGTATGAATATAGAAACTTGAAAATTATAGCCAGATAACATGCTTTTCTTTTGCTCTATTTCTTTGCTAAAAGTTGCTTTGGCTTTAAGAAGATTTATAGATTTTTATTGTAAGTCCTCCTGGTAATTTTTTTTAATATGTGAGTTTTTATCGCACAAAAATATACTATAATTATTTCATTTCAAGTGTAGTTAGGTGTAATTCTCTTCTCTCTACTTTAATGTCTCTCTTTTTCAAATTTTATGATGATTATTTACGTTTTTATTGGTTTGTATTGTGATTTTAATGTATTTTTTATTCTGTAAACCACTTTGAATTACTTACAGTTTCAATAGTTGACCCTTTATGTCATATTATAAGGCCTAATTTTCAAACTATGTATTTGAGAAACCTAAAATGTTACTTTGGTAAAAAAAAAAAAAAAAATGACTTGTTTTTTTCTGTATGTGTTCCTATTCCCATTAGCCTACAGTATAATCCTGTGTTTGTAGTTTACAGTAATAATCCGTGTCTGTGTCCCAGACTGGGGTGGTATGTTCAAAGTGCTGTTATTCTGGGCAGTTGCTGGACTCTTTGGTGCTATTCTTACTGCCCGGGGTCAGGGGAATAGGCCTGTCTTTAGACCGCACTGTTCAGGTCTGACGTGTCAAATGAATTCTCAGCTGTTTCTGTCTGTGCTTCATAGGGTACGACTAGACTGGGGCATTTGTGCAGCTAACTACCAACTCTCACTAACCCATATTCAGAAACTTCAGTATTTACGTTTATGTATTTTTATTTTATGCTGCCATTATTTTGAAAGGCACTAAAAGAGCTGAGCATTTTAAAGTATAATTGGAACTGGATGTGAAGACTGGATGTGAAGCAAAAATATATTGCTTTTATGCACTCATCCACCAACCTACAACTCGGTGGTTTGAATTCACAGACCTAGTACTGTTGTGTCCTTGGGCAAGACACTCCTGGTGGTCTGGAGGGCAGATGGTGCACATTGGCAGCCTCACTTCCGTCAGTCTACCCCAGGGCAGCTGTGGCTACAATAGTGTTGTAAATGACTACTGTATTTTTCGGGCTATAAGGCGCACTGGATTATAAGGCACAATATCAATAACGTTGAATTATCTCGTCTACTTTCATACATAAATTGCACCAGATTATAAGGCGCATCAAGCGAAATTAACGAACGACACTTGAGACTGATCCCTTAGCCCAGGCGTCCATGATCCATTGGCAGATCATGGCGCAATTCGCCCGGCGTTGCTTCTCTGTCTTGATGAATGTATATTATGAATGTGAATGTGGGTGGATAATTTAAGTTTGTTTTTTATTTCCTATGAGGAGGACTCAAATATACATTGAGTAATAAATAGTTTAATGCAGTTTTGTGCACATTTGTTAACATTTTACAGAAACAAAACTTAAACTCACATGGCTAACTTGCATAAACTATAAACGCTGAAAAAACTGCTCGCTCCTTGTGCACTGACTAGCCGTAATGCTCTAACAATCCATCAAGCGGTGCGGCTTCGTAGTTTACGTTGTATCTTAAGTCGTACTAAAACATTTTCATAGACTTTTGAGCGCCGTGTATCACATAAAATCGGTTCGAGGTCAGTAAGCACAACCAGAATTAATACATAAGGCGTGATTTTTGAGAAAATTTTAGGATTTTATGTGCACCTTACAGTCCCAAAAATACAGTAGGTGACACTCAGCCAGGGCAGTAGACATGGGGGGACAAAGGGGTCTATTGTCCTGAGCCCCTGGATTTATGGGGCCCAGAATTGGACTCTTCCTATTAATTTATATTAGATGGGGTCTCCTGTGAAGCTTCTTGCCCGGGCCCCCCAAATTTCTGTCAACGGGCCTACACTCAGTATATAGGAAAGTACTAAGAAATTCATTAGCCAAGGTTAAATGAGAGTTTGTGAGCATAATTTTTTAGCTAATGTAATATTGTTTTTTTTATATTTCTAACAAAAGGAAGACAGAAATATTCACATTAGTCAATTTTTCTTTCACAATTGCTAAAAATAATCACATCATTTTCTATTTGTACTGCTGTGTATTGTCTGAAGCCTGACGAGCCTGAGAGCGCTGTGCCGTTGTACCTGATAACGTGATTGAAATGAGCGCGCTGTGAAAATGGCCTGTGTTAAGCACTCCTGCCCATTTTGTGAACAGTCGTGACATTTTTAACACGCCTTTGTCTCCGCTGTGTTGGTTTCTTCCTGTTGTGATGATATTTCGGGCTATTTGTGCTCACGCAGCTCAACCTTAAGAGATGTAGGAATAAGGAAATTGCTGCTTGTATCGAGCAAGTTAAAGGAAGGTTGATTTATAATCCAGTTTAGAGAATAATTCAAATTTAAAGACACTTTTTTATAAAACGTGCAGTAATAAAGTATTACAGTGATTCAAGGGCCTAGGGATTGGCCAGTATTCTTAGTTCAAAGGACAAATCTGATGCTGTGAAGAGAATCTGAGAATGACACATGGGCAAACAGAGAACGGACAAGCAGCATAAAAATATTGGTATCAAATGTCGCATTTAACATCAGTATTGACCATCACTGATACTGGAACCAGTATATGGCCCATCACTAATATTTTACTACTTTTCTCTTAAAATGTCCTGATTAAATCCTGATAAAATACAACCAATATTGCAATTTCTGAAGAATTAAGAATGCTGATTAAATCAACTGATTAGACTAAATACAAATTTGCCCTAATTATATTTGGCCTGTGGGGCAATTTCTGAAGAATTAGACTAGACATGTCAAACTCAGGCCCGGGGGACAAATTTGGCCCGTGAGATAATTATATTTGGCCTGTGAGATGATATCAAATATTTATCAGAGCTGGCCCACTAACGGATAGACTATAGAGACATTATTTATTTAATATTTTGTTATTATTTTATATTCAGTGTTTAAGCAATACTATTATTAAACATTAATTTTAATAAGAAAAGGTTTAACATTAAATTTCTTGAAGAGAAAACATGCAATAAATATTCAAAATAAATATTTTGTTCGGCCCACAACTTCCACACAAGTCCCAGTTTTGAAGTTTTTCGCCCACAGTGATTTTGAATTTGACAGCCCTGAATTAGACAAACTTTTCAATATATAATTAATTTATATGAATTGGAACAGAGAGACATGAGCTAATGTGGCTATCTTAAATAATGTTTACACTGAAACAAATCACCGTATCACCGTATCAGCGTAGTGGAAACGATCTGCGTCCAGACTCTTCGTTTCTGTGCCCGCAAGCCTTCCCTATCCACACAGCTTTGCGAATATTTGTTTTACAGAAGTGAAACTTAAAACTGCATGGCTAATTTGCATAAACTAAGGCTCAAAAAACAGCTGCTTAGCCTCTTTACAAAATATAAACATTACACAAAAAACTTCGAGGTTGAAGCCTGTCATGATGCTACTGTGTGTTTTGTGGAGTATGACTCACTTGTTACTAGGCAGATTAAGCGGGCAGGCGCAGGGCTGGCAGTCGGCGGGTGTGCCCTGGGTGGCAACACCGTAGTATCCAGGTAAACAGGTGTCACAGAACGGGCCGATGGTGTTGTCCACGCAATTCTACGAAAAATATACAGATGTTTACTTTGACATAGTGGGATTGGATGAAACAATAATAGTGCCAATAATTCTTTTAAAATATTACTATTTAACCTCCTGAGACCCGGGCCATTCATTTGTGTCCTTTATAGTGGACACTGAGTTAACCAGTTTATCTTTTAAGTGTTTTGAGATAGACTCTTAATGGGGGGACTTGGTTCCTCTGCCTAAATAGGGCTGGAGGATTATAGGGTACAATCATGTCCAGGATAAAAAATGAGTAAGTAAGTTAGTTAGTTTGTGGCTGCACTATGATAACAAAAAATAAGAAGAAATTAAAAAGGAGTCTAAAAACTGACTGTAGAAGCTTGTCAGAGATGCTGGTCATCAACAACTTCACATGGATTTAACACCAAAATATCCCCGGTGTCCATTACAGATAAAACACAAAAATAAAATGAACAAAAGGTGTTCATTTACCCCCAAAAAGAAAATCACAAAAAATATATATTGCAATATACTTTCTTTTTCGGGTCCAAGGAGTTAAGGGAGAAATATTTTTTCTATCACTTGCCTATCACCAGTTTATTTCAGGACAGATAAGTAAGTATAATGCAATACTGTGGAACATTTCAGGAAAATATCTTCATGAAAACAAACAGGTGGTCGACCCTCCACCTGAAAAGTTACATAGTGCTATATAAACTATGTTCAAAATGTATTAACACAGAAAAGCCAACCGTTCCATTTTAATAGTTTATTATTTATTAACGCTGCAAGATGAATCCAATCAACATCCCAATATGAATGGACGCAATTAGCAAAACTCAAAGGCTGCAATTTCTGAAGTACCGTAATTTCCTTCACAACAAAAAAGATATCCTGTGTTATTCTACTACCCCTGTGGTTCTGAAATGTGATTCTTGTATTAGTTTGTCAGTTCAAACTTTAGTCTTTTTGTCTGTTCTTTTAGACAAGTTTAAAATGTGAACTTTGAACAGAATCCTATTATTATTATAACATGCAACACAAATCTAATGGCAATCATGATGCAGAAAAATCACAATTAGATACTTAAGTACCTTTAACACAGACGTACGCCTACATTAAAAGGTGTACTTATTCAAAAGTAGTTTTTCTTCTAGTGAAAAGGCTCCGTCTACTCAGAACACTTATGTATTCTAATGGGATGCCTCTTTTCTTCTGTCAGAAGTTAAAGCTTAATGGCCGTGGGGTTACTCAAATATAATTAGTGCTCATTACCTTATTAACATAATGCACCGGCACAACACAACACATGACGTTTGTCGATACATTCATTTATAAGAACCAAATAAAGGTGTCACATTTAATTACCATCAAGCAGACAGAGCGGGGCGAACAATGCAGAGGAGGTCAAAGTTAATTATATGGTTCAGGAGAAAATATAAGGAGCGTTACTATGGAAACCGGATACATAAGAACGATTGGCTAAAACTCAGTGGAGAAATACAGTTTTAGCAATAAATATATACATTTTTAATTTTGTAAAAAGTAAACTATTTTGTAAGGTTGTACATCTAGAAGAACATTGGAAGTTCAACAAGCTTCAAAAACAACAAAAAAGTAGGCTCCATTTACTGACGGCATAAAGACACAGGGTAAGAGAAACACTGGCTGTGTTTACATGCACACAGAGATCTGATCATTATTACCTGATGCCAGATTTACACTGACTGCAGATGCAGTGAGTTTCAGGACTTACGCAGGTCCTGCAGGACTTAGAAAGTCCTTCAAATGAATGCACTCTGTGGAAAGAATCTGCAATTTTGACCAGACACTGTTGGTCTGAAGTGGTTTTCAGGTCATTAGACGTGTTATATCACATGATCACACGTGAAAACGGGTTACTTGCAGATTACGCTCAAGGCTCTATCAGACTTTTACAATGACATGTAAAAAGCAAAATCATTGGATTTCGAACTGACCTCTGATTAGCCACATCAGTCATTTATGTAATATTACCTTAAAGAATTCAGATTATAATCTGATTTTGGTGTGCATGTGAAATATACCACTTACATCTGGAAACTTACCAACAATTCTGTCTAATTATTGGGTTATTTCATTATTTAACACATCTGTTTTTTTCTGGCCATATAACTAAAAACATGAATAAAAACCAATCCAGTGTTTGTAAACAAAATGTAAAAATATTCGCAACAGCCATTTGTCCAGAGATCTACAAATGCCAAAATGTATGTTTTTTTTTTTTTATTCCTGGTATAGGACGTGAATGTCAGTACAAGGCTGTGTGGGCAGATTTCCAGATTCCAATAAATCATTAATAACCTATCCGTATTCCTTATTTAAACATTTGGATTGACACATGTTTGTGAAGGTGAAAAGATGTACAGTTTTCACCTCAAATCCACCTGTATCCACACACTAACCTGACTCCTTACTATAGGACTCTCCCGTTGTAAGTGAACTGTACAACCCTAGAGGAGAGAATACTTGAGCAGGTGCCTGTCTACTGTCACTGTGGAGGCGTAGTAGGATAAGGCGGTAGTCTGACTAGGCTTGTGTGTGTATGTGTCCCAGGACCCTGCTGTCTCATCTATAATACAACATAACAGTGTAATACAAGCCCGGGTGTGAGTGTTTGGTCCAATGCTAAGTGACAGCTTGAGCCCGAGGCAGGGAGAAAGTGTGGTGCTCTGTGAGAAGGTGAAAGGGCGGCTACATGTGGGTCGAACTATGGCCACAAGGGGGAGGTTACTTCAGTGATTCTATTCTGACAATATTTTTTTGTAAGATTTATGTGGATACTACTATACATTTACTCAGCTTCATGTCCTCGAGTAACTTTTTCTTAAAAAATTGTACTTGTAGTTTTCAGACAACATACTCTTCCCACTGTAAGTTAATCTACAAGTGACAAAATCTTGACAATATATAATCTGAGCATTTCTTGCATTGCTCCTTCAGATATTTAGTTTTTCTCATCTTTGTCCTTCAAATTATATTCAAATTACACATTATAAACCAAATGTAAACACCATTACTCTTTCTTAAGTAGTAGTTTCTCCAAATACACGTGTATCTTTACGCTTACCAGAAAATTCCGGCAACAATGTTCTCTAATGTTTTCACAAATGTATCATGATAGTTTCAAGTATTTAAGTATTTTTATGGGGGAGTCAAAATAAGTAACAAAATAATACTAAAATGATAGACTTTGTGTGTGTATTTTGTTTCTAATATGTTCCCAACTTCGTAAATCTTTGGAGTGATAGTGCTGTCTTTTATCGTAATAAATTCAATGCCTTTATTCACTAGTCGGAAAACAGGAAACATCTGTTGCCGAAGATGTCAGCTTGGTTCATTCATAAAAGTACTGTGCGTTCTCTTTGTAACTTCACAACTTCATTTTCCAGTGAGGCAAAACATTTTCAAACTGTATCTTTTTACAAACAGACTGTTGTTGAGTGATTATACTGTTACATGGTCCAATTTCTTCTTCTCTGTTTAAGATATTCAGACTGGCTTTTAATATACAGTGATGCAGTGACACTATGAAATTTGGTTTACTTCATTGTTTAATGTTTTTCTTGTTTTAATATTATGTTGCAGAGGTGGGGACATGCAAGTCGTGACTTGGACTCGAGGCAGACTTGAGTCACTAGTTTTAGTTGAGTTGAGACTTGACTTGATAAAATGGACTAAGACTTGGGCCTCGACTTGGACTTGAAGGTCAGTGACTTGGGACTTGATTCGGACTTGAGGCCTGTGACTTCAAAAGACTTGAGAAGCACTTTTAAATCTGAATTCTTTCTATTCCGACTGTAATGATTCACTCTAAGATCTTGTCAGGACATTTAAAAAGGAAAAAAATGCATTTCTGCTACTCTTATATACTCTATAAATACTCATACATAAATATACTATGGCTTTGTAAGTACAATTTATTTTAAAAGTCATATAAATTGACATGCAATGACTTGAAGCTCAAAGCAGAAGACTTTGACTTAACTTGGACTTATGGGCCAGTGACTCGAGACTGGACTTGGACTTGCCTGTATTTGACTTGCAACTTGACTCGGACTTTAGGTCAAAGACTTGAGACTTACTTGAGACTCGCAAAACAATGACTTGGTCCCACCTCCGTTATGTTGGTTTTAATATGAAGCACTTTGGTCGGCTTTAGTGTAGTAAAAGGATCTAGAAAGTTTGACTGATTGATTGAAGATTCTTTTTGACAATAGTGAGCCTGTTAGTTTTACCATGTGATTTATTATAGATTATGCATGCATGTATGTATGTATTTATTGTCCTTGTACTTACCAGGCAGTGTCCAGTATAGGGATCACACTCAGAGCTGTGTCCGTGGCACTGACACGCTTCACAAAATCCGTGGTAGAGGACGCCGTTCAGCCTGCGGTACCCACTGGCACACGACTGAAACACGGGAACACACAGGAATAGTATCAGCATCAGCTCAAGTGCGACTAAAATGCATATGCACTGCAGATCTACCGCTGAGCCACAAGGTGCAAGTATGAATATGCATCGCTAATAGAAAGTAAAACAAATTTTCGTAGGTGTAAATTCAATGTGGAAATTTTAGGAGGCACATAAAGCACAATGGAATATTTTAACCAGGCAATTAATACTTCAAACATATGGAGTATCTAACATGTGAGCACTTTTCCCTATATGATAAAAATGATAAAAATGTGTGTAACGACATTATTTCATCCATATTTTTCAGCTATTGAATTGCACTTTAAATACAACATAGTATTACTTACCTATTAAGCAAAGAAAACGTACAGTTTCATCTCAAACGTAGGGTTGTCAAAAATCAATACCCACATATTACTTCATACTAAAACTACATTCAGAACTTGTTATTAATCTGAGCCGGCATTCGATACAGCCTTGAATTTTCACAGTAGCAGGACCACGTGGTGAAGATGATCAAGAATCCGCTTTGAATCCATGTTGAAAATTACATAAAATAGTATGCAATTATGGTTTTGGAATTGTATCGAAGTCTGGTTTGACATTTTGATATAAAATTAGATTGGACCAGTCTAAATCTACATTAATGAGCAAATCCAAATATTTTCAGTGAATATTTGGTGTTGAGAGAAGTTCCACATGAAATAAATCATATCTACAGTAGTTATGGCTCCTTCTCTCCTTCAGCCTGTGTACAGCTCCTGTGTAAAGCTCCTGCGTACAGTATGTTTGTGTGGGCTGCTGTTTACCTCACAGGAAGTTCCAGAGAAACCCGGAGGACAGGAGCACATCTCCACGGCTGCGGCTGTCCTCTCCCCGCGCGCAGACGGATTAGCCACCTCCATGGAGAACAGGTGCAGCCTACACACATGCACAGGAAAACTCTGACAACACTGGAGAGGAGCTTTAAGGCCAGAGATAATACTGTGTTTTCATACGGTATGTGGGTGTGCTTCTCAACCTGTGCTACATAGACTTCTTTAGGTTATTCTATTGTATCTGTTTTAATGTTTTAAATTGTTAATTAACATTGCAACAAGCCTAATTAGTCTGTATTGTCGTAGAGTAAGAGCAGTGGCGGAGTTAGCAATATGGGGGCCCTAGGCGAACTTGAGTTTGAGGCACCGCTGAGTTTGGAGCACAGTTTCTAATACATCGTTTTTTTTGTTTTGTTTTGTTTTTAATATATTTATTGTCTGTTTTTCACTATTGTTCTTGAGACATACACATCTCTATTTATTTGAATTATGGTGGATTGGAACCTTGTCTTATTAGTTAGGTCGCCTTCTAAATAACCAGAATTGAAAGTAGTTTTATTTTTTTGCTAGTACAATTATATTTTTGTTCACAGCCATTACATATGATTATGATTATTTTTCTTATGGTTATTCTTTAAAAGTAAAGTACTCTCATTTAATGTCATATTAAGAGAGGCCTTGGCCATTGAGGGCAATTGGCAGGGGACCCCTTCAGGTTTGGGGGCCCAAGGCAGCTGCCTACTTTTACCAAATGGTAGGGCCGCCTCTAAGTAATAGTCCCAAAGATTCAATAGGATAGACACAAATAAGCCTACTACAATTTAAAGTTGTTTTACACTTTATTTCTCCATAGGGAAATGTATCCTCTGCATTTCACCCATTATTCAATGCCACTGGAGCACCTCATCAGGATTAGTGGGCAGCACAGTGCTCAGGCATCCATCTCTGTGATCTTGTTTCTCGTCTTGGTCAGGGCCTTAACTTGCAAATTTTACCTATGGGCATGTAGCTGAAGGAAACCCACACAGACATGGAGAGGGCATGCAAACTCTGCACTGAAAGGCCTCGGAATTGAACCCAGCAGTGAGACCGAACCAGAAGTGTTTAAGGCTTCTTTAACAAAACAAGCCATTTGAAGTGCATTATTTTGAGGTATTTAATTAGGTAAAAATGTTGTTTAAATAAGTTTACCTGTACACTGCAGTGGGGTTGGTGCTGTAGGTGGCCCGGACCATCACTTTGGTCACATTTGCCAAAACAGAGAGGAAATCCCTGCGGCTGATTGGCTGAGCCGTCTCTGCAATCAGGAAGTTTTCAGGAAGCAGGTCGACAACTTTGGTGACTGGTGAGGCGGGGTACACCGGCTCTCCGTATCTCCCATTGGCGATCCTCATGCCACCACCCTAAAAGGAGATTATATGTTCAAAAAGTGATATTATTTTTATTAAACCTGAACATTTGGTATCAAGTGAAAAAATAAATCTGCTCACACCTTCTGTGCAAAATATTTTAATCTACCCCAGTTGAATGCTTTATTCATTAATCCCCGCTGTTGGTAGACTGATTTGTGGCTATTAACCTACCAAGATGGCTTTTCCAACCTCCAACACCACTCACTTAACATAAATAAATAAATAAATATAAATATGGAGTGGTAAGAGGGACTGAGCTAACAAGATGCAAAAAGTAGTTTGAATAAGCCATCTGAAGTGCATAATTTTGAGGTATATGCATGTAATACAGTACAAATGTTAGAATAATTTTTTGGATGAAGGAGATGTCATTGCTTTGTCTAGAACATTTCACATTACAGCATTAAATAAGTTTGTTACTAGTGATTATATTGCTTAAATACTCAATATTCTTACTGTGAGCCTGTGAAGGGGTCACTTCTTCACAGATCGGTCCAGTAACTTGGCCTGGTGGAGCCACCTGTTAGTCTCCACGGAGAGTGATAAATTTGTCACCATGCTGTGGAACATTCTAGACCAAGCAATGCCATTTCCACAGAGACAAGCAGGTGGCACTAGCCAGGCTGGCGCCACCCTGTGCCTCCAATCAATTTCATTTCTCTCCAGTGACTAGGTCAGCAATCGGAATACACTAGATGGTTTGCAAGAACCCCAGAAGTTGTAGACTGTGCACCGGCCAATCAGTGAAGAGCTGTGAAGCCATGACGTCAAACTCAAGCACCTGTCTAGGTAACTTTTGTAGAACAGCACAACAGTAAACAAAGCAGTCGAGATGGATGTAGACGAAGACATACATTCTGTGTTGCCAACGATTCCTGAAATCGAGGATTTAAAGCCGAATCAAAGAGAATGTTTGGTAAATTTACAAGGGGAAAGACGTTATTGCCCTTCTTCCTAAGGGATTTGACGCATTACAGACATCACAACCAAATAGCAGTGATTGGTTAAATAAAAAAGTTGCCGCCTACCGCCGAGCAAAGGAATCCTAATGCTGCCTCACTGTACACATTCCAACTTCTGTCTTCCTTTGTCACTCCCAAATAAGTTTAAGATATTCACCTCTGCTATTTTGTTTTCTCTTCTTAACAACATTCCAACATTTTCCCTCTAAAAATGAAATTAAACCTTTGTCAAAAACATCTGTTGTGTTCTAAACAGAATGGTTCTGGATGACGAGTCATTAGTTAGAGAGCCGCAGTTGCTATTGACTTTTCTGAATAGACCCAATGGAAAGTGAATTGAGCTGCTCCAGGCCCTCATATCTTAGTACTTCTGCTGAATCAATGGGATGTAGCGGCTAACGCGGAGTGACAACTACTGATGGAGGGGAGGAGCGCGCCAGACAGCTTACCATGCCAATAATGTCAACTAATTGCAATACGGAGAGAAAGATAGAAAAAAATGGATTGACAGCAAAACAGACAAAGTCACCTCAAACAGAAACAGGTTTATTTGATCGCTGCATGAGGAATGAGCCAGGGTTGTCATTGTCTATTCTTTATTGTAACTACTGAGGGGTAATCAGGCTTGAAAAGAGAGAGAGGGTGTGTGGATGGGGTGATTTCCCTCAGCGATGTCCTTGTCAACATTAGAAGTATAAACTAGGCTGTTAACTGCCATTATAAAATGATATTGTGCTGATTTATGAAGATGTTAGCCTCTGACTTGGTACTGAAAAAAAAAAAATAAAATAGATTGAAAGCTGGAGAAACATGTATTTAGTGGGGCCTCATGTGGGGGTAATAGACAGACAACACTTTGCTGCACTATTAAGTCCCTATAGGAGGTTTAGCATATGGGCGATACTGACAATGACTAATATCTCACTATGTTTTAAGACAATTTATGTTATGAGGTTGTTTTTTTCAGACCAAGAGTTTGTTTTCATACCTGACAGTTTCGACTACTCAATAGCGGTCTTCCTCAGGGTCACGTGATGTTGCTGTGACGTGTCCGATCAGCTGATTTATATAGATTTTGGAGCTGTCTTCCTACCGGCGGAAGCAGAACGACAGCGCCATCTGCAGTTCAACTCCCTCAGAACAGTATCCCAGATGTGTGAGAGCAAAAAAGCCCCCTTGTCCCGGTTTATCGTCCTGTGGGCACGTTTCTGTATTTCGATTGCCTCTTTAATCCAATGACAATGTTTGTTTTCCTCTGTCCCAATGATGTTTGCTCCGTCCCAGTCCATAATGTGGTTCTCTCTTTTACAGTGGTCAGAAATGGCCGATTTGAGTTGTTCCTGTTCTGCTTTGTGTTTTGTTGCTCGTGTGCTTCGCTGTTTCGCTGACGTCGGACTGCAGATGGCTCTGTCATCTTGCCTCCACCGGTAGGAAGACAGCGCCAAAACCTGTTTAAATCAGCTGAGCGGACACGTCACAGCATCATCACGTGACCACTCTGAGGAAGACCGCAGGGAGCAGTCGAAAATGTGAGGTATGAAAACAAACTCTTGGTCTGAAAAAAATCTAATAACATAAATTATTGGAAGACCAAATTAACCTCATTGGACTATGTTTTAAGACAATATTCACATAATATTATTACAATGCATCAAGAATGTTAAGGGTAATTGAGGTTCTTGAAATGAGTAAGTAAGATTCTCCTAGAGTATATGTTTCAAACTAGTACTTCAGTACTGGTAATATTTTATTTGTGAAAAATACGGTCTGTACATTTGTGGACACAAAAGATGTCTGTGCTTTTCTCTCAACTGGATTTAACAAAAGTTTGTTTTTTCGGTTTGTTCCACTGTTGTGACACTTTGACCAATCAGATTAAAAAATGAGTCATGGCGTTCTGCGTTTTTCCAATCGCTTTTTGTGAGCGCTGTTCCAGAATGATAAATGTGTAGAGCTCAATATTCTACAGATATGGAGCTCCCACTCACATTAAGTATAAGTAAGTAAGTATATATTATTACTAATAAAAGCACCTGTAACTGAATAAATGCAACATAGACCACATGTTAAAACCACACTGTGGAGCATTTCATGCAATGCAATAAGCATCTCCATGGAAACAAGCAAGTGACAAACCCCTTAGCAGAAAAGTTAATTTTTTTTATCATATTAACAGTGCAAAGTGTTAAAATTATAAATATATATATAAAATACCAGTTCTCATTCTTATATGATAATACTTGTTTAATTTCAATCACTGCACAGCTGATAACTCCACAAAGCATTTTTTATCACTGTAGAAATTAAACATGCATCCAGCTTTATAAGGTTTAGAGATTATTGTACTGTGTCAAATTCAAATATTCACAATTTTTCTAGCTTTTATCAACACAATTCTAAAAGAAGCAGTAGCGTGATGATAGCTGACTTGGCTGATGTAGCTAATGTGCAGACAGTAAACAGCAGGGGAAATGCGGAGACAAAGGCACAAAGGGGGGACAGGGACACGCACAAGGCTGAATAGCGGACTGACAGCGTGTAGGTGGATTATTATTGTCATCATTTGGAGAGGCTTTCTGTTGACAACAAGAGCGCCACTTGTCCAGGCCTCCTCCAGCTTCCATCTCCTCCCAGACTGTCCATCTCACATCGCAGCGCTGTTAAATATATCCCACTCAAGACTACACAACTGCACAGGGCTCATTTACGCCTGTCTTCTAAGTATTTCTAGTGGATTAGTAAACGTATTCAAGTTATTTTTCTATATACTTTCTTATATAAACCAGCAGTGATGAGGAGAGGTTGCTATTAAGACTTTGCAGCCGATGTCATCAACATTGCCTGGGGATGTGACGCTAACTGAAGCCACAGGACCATGTACACTCGTATTGATCAAAGGCTCCTAAAAATGTGTTTGATGTGTTTTGTTTAAATGTGTTTAAATCAACTACCGTATTTTTCGGACTATAAGTCGCACTTGTTTTCATGGTTTGGGTGGTCCTGCGATTTATACTCCGGTGCGACTTCTATATTAAAATTTTCACACTGACAGCCAACAGAGGGCGCTCTGTGTCTCCTGCAGAAAGAGCCTCTGTCCTGTCTGTATCATGTCAGTTGATCGCACCATTACTTCATGTACCACTGAAAATTTTAAAACAAACTTATAAAGACGACTGAGAAGACTGAACACAGATGCCCCCAAAAAGAACATTATGTTTTGCAGATTACAAGATGCAGGTAGCGAAATATGCAGATGAAAATGGTAATCGAGCAACAGAAAGAAAGTTTGGAGTAAGCGAGAAATTTGATGAATTGACAAAGCCTTGACTTCAGTGACAACCGGCACCATCCTGTCGGGATTTAGAAAGACTGGAATAATTCTAACTGGAACTGCTGCTGAGTCTGACGACAGCTACACAGAAGACGAAGCAGTGCTCCGTTTACCTCTGAAGGTCACGGAGTTGCTCAGAAGTGACAAAGAGGATGAAGAATTCAATGTATTTAGTGATTTGGAGTGAGATGGAGAGTTTGGTAAACTTGTTCTGTTCTGTTGTTTATTCTATAGTTGTCTGAAGAACTATTATGTTACGTTAACAGCCTGTTGTTCTCTGTTCTATTGTTATTACTATAATTTGCCTTTCAAGATGAAATGTCAGTTCCTGGTCTCTGATTTTATAAAATAAATTTCCCCCAAAAAGTGTGACTTATAGTCCAGTGCAACTTATATATGCTTTTTTCATCTTCATTATGCATTTTTTGGCTCGTGCAATTTATACTCCATGCTCTAAAAATATGGTATATATTTTTCTGGAGTTTTCTTTTTTGACAGTGTTTGCTAATGTGTGCATTGTGTGTCCATGGTTATTACTGAAAATCTATCTGTCTGCACCTAATTTAACGTTTTTACTGTCCGCACACCAAGAAGTAATGCTGGTTGGTGTTCTGTTAGCATGCTAGTTGTTGCTAAAATGATTGTGATGGCAAAACTCTTCCTCTGAAAGTTGTGAAAAACGTTTGTATACTCTTAAAAACTGGATCAAGTGCATTTCCTCTACACATTTTTAACTTCTCACGGCGTTAGAACATGTAAATATTGATATTGTCGAGTACCGTGCAGCGTACAGCGTTGTTTAGTGACACAGGAGGTATAAACAGTTAACTAATAACGTGGCTGCTTTGCTTATTACTGCCATACATCATACCAGCTCTGCTCATTATAAACAGAGGCTCCTGAACATCTGCATTTTTAACGCACACCTCAGCACTTCTCAGCCAACTCTTACCCTTATCCACAAATGTCTCCGAGCTTCTATGCACCACTTCATTTAGTGGTTTTAAGAGACTGTGGATTGTGGCTGAGATGAATAATGTGATGCACTTGAGAACATATAAACAGGATTAGACAGTAGGAGTATGGACACATGGGTTGCCTCCTACACACAGAACCATGTATAGTGGAAGGAATGGCATTGTCAGAAGCGTTGGAGAGTGCAGGCTTGGATGAAAATAATGACTTTATTTCTAAAAAAAACAACCACTAAAGAAGGCATATTTCTGCAGTTCAAATGTGGTATAATGTGTACTGTGTAGAAATGTTTGTGAAAGTTGTCAATTTACTTTTAGTTTTATTCGTGTTATTTTCAGCAGTAATGACATTTAGTTTTATAGTGTCACTGTGCTTTGTCACGTCTTAAAAACAGTTGGACTGCAAGATTAACTGCAAACTATTCTAATTTAAATTACAGTTTTAATGGTGGTATCTACGTACTCCATATGCAGTTTAATGAGTGGGTACATATTACAGATAAAAAATAATCACAGAAACCAGTTATTAAATCTGTTTTTGGTGTGTGTTTACATGCTCAAGCGAAGTCTGATCATCAAAAACCTGGTGACATGTGTTGACTTGCACAGGTTTGAACAATCAGAGAGAAATCCGGTTACTGTATTTTTCGGACTATAAGTCGCTCTGGAGTATAAGTCGCACCAGCCAAGAAATGCGTAATGAAAAAGAAAAACATCACTAAATCACAAAATCCATTGAATTCTTCATCCTCAGTGTCACTTCTGAGCAATTCCGCAATCTTGGGTGGTAAACAGAGCACTGCTTCCTCTTCTGTGTAGCTGTCATCAGACTCAGCATCAGTTCCAGTTAGAATTATTCCAGCCTTTCCAAATCCCAACAAGGTGGTTTCAGTTGTCACTGAAGTCCAAGTTTTGTTGATCCATCCAGTGACTTCTAGGAAAGTTGCAGGGCGCACGCTCCCGGGTTTACCGTTTTTTTCGCAGGACCACCAAAACCATGAAAAAAAGTGTCCAGTCCGAAAAATACGGTACACACATCAGATCTTACTGTTCACATGACATTTCAATAATCTGATAACTCCAGAAATCAGATAATGATCAGATTTTTGCTGTGCATGTAAACACAGCCAATCCTTGGGCCTTACCTCGATGATGATGTCGAGCTCTGTGGTGACTCTGATTGGTGTCTGCTCCTGCTGGTCAACTGTGTAGGACACTTTGTAGATGACGGTACCTCCATAGGCCCTGAGCTGCACAAAGACACACACAAACACACAGCACATTACAAAATATCACAATGCATTGATAATTCCAATCCAACTTTATTTCCACTTTTGCATCTTCTGTCATCATATAAACGTAGCCTAAAAAGAGAATAGGAAAGTGTTTCTTTTAAACTTTAATATTTAAAAGTTATATATTCAGTGTTTTTTTTTTGTGTTTTTTTTTTAACATTCCTGCTCACCCACTGCACCAGACTATAGGGGGACAGAGGAGCTCATTTTCCAGCAGGCTCCTACAGCTCCACTCAAACAGTGAGAGATAAAGTACTACAATCATACCATAGTCCAGTGTTTCCCAAACTTCTTTTCTGGGGACCCATATTTCAAAAGTCACAAATCTTCGTGACCCAAGTCAATAGACATTATTCATAAATCACAAAATAAGTCTGTGCCCATTATTGAACATTAATGAGGATATTTTATTGTTGACCAAGTGATTGTGTCTCTCTGAACAATTAGTATTACCGTATTTTTCGCACCGGATTATAAGGCACATTAAGCAAAACAAATGAGACTTGAGACTTTTTTGAGGACTCAAAATATACATTGAGTAATAATGTGTTCAATGCAGCTTTGCACACATTTGTTTACATATTAGAGAAACTAAACTTGAAACCACATGACTCGTTTGCATAAAATATAAGCACTGAATAAAAATAAAAAATTAAAAAAAATGCTCGCTCCTTGTCCCCTGATGCGGTCAGCTTCTGTCAGACTAAAGAACACGACTCAGTGGAATATGTGTGAAAATCGGTTCAAGGTCAGAAAGCACAACCAAAATTAATAAATAAGGCACACCAGATTATAAGGTGCACTGTTAGAAAATTTAAGTAATTTATCTTCCACGTACATCTCAGTTTAACATTGACACACAAAACACACTATATTTACACCATGATCTTCCATTGGCACACCATTTGTAAACCATTATCTAAATTGTGGCATATTGCTGTCTAACCTGTGCCTACTGGCTTTCATAGTCTCACCACTTGCTTTATAAACCTCCTCCTCTGGAAGCAGAGTCAAGGGGCTTGAACACTCAAAGATCATACTATGTTCTCTTTTGAAATCAAACTATGTTGACCTTTCAAGTCCCCCCTGGGCCCGTATTATTGATGGTAAATAAACTTCTCCTGCATAAGACATCCAGTTGGTCTCCAGCCTTTTACTTCCACCCTTTCTTGGACAAGCTGAAAACTTCAACAACACGCACTGTCAATTTTTCAGAAAAATTAATGGATTTTAAGTACACCTTATAGTCTGAAAAATACGGTACTTAAGTTTTAAACAAGGAAAAACAGTAACTAGTGTTTCCCACAGAAAATTGGTTAGGCAAGTTGGTGCTGCTGAAAAAGTGAGGAGCTGGAGGCTGCGTGGAGATGTATGTATATGTATATTGCAGACCTACATGCAGATCGTGGCAACCCAAAAAAAATCTCTTGCCCCAGTCTTTGGGAAACAATGCCATAGTCCTTACAACTGTACGACAACTCACCCTTACATAAGTAACAGATAACCTACTGTATGTCTTCTATCTTTGCACTGTTTTCCCTTAACCGACCTAATCGAATCTAATGTTTCATCAAATATCAAATTGTACATCCTCTTTGACTACACAACTTTTTCAACACTATTCATTACAAATATACCTGCTACAATCCACCTTAAAACTCTTTAAAACGCTTTAATTAGATCGATTCTGATTTACATGTTAATAACAGCTCTCATGAACAAGTCACAGCCCCGGTCTTGTGTGGATTGTTTTGGTGATTTCTGTTGAGTCTACAGAAAGCGCAGAAAGAGTCGTATAGAGGCTGCTGAAACGCTGTGTCGGCACGATCCTAAAATTTATCACCGCGCTCCTCCAACCTGTGCGGTAATGGGGGTGAGAGCCAGATAATCATGGTCCCATAAAAACAGAGAGGAGGGAGATAGACGTAAAGGCAGGGACAGGGACGGGGGACAGGGACGGGGGGCTTAATATATCTATAAAGCGCTCCCGTCCACATCATTACTCTGAGTTGGTAAAGCCGGCCAGGAAGCTCCACTTTCACTGCTGAGAGTGAACACACAAACAGGAAAGGAGGAGAGGGACAGGGGAGGTTTTTTTTTTTCCTTTTTTAATAGAAGATGTATTTTGTACATTTCAGATTAGACTAAACTTTCATGCACCCAATCACTATACTACATTGAAACAGGAGATCCAAGGCACTCCGATATACTTTGCTATTATTTTATTCGGATCTGCTTTTATTCGGAAGTTATTTGCGCACTTGGGATTTTTGAAGAGCACCTGATTATTATTTCACTTCAGCTGTGATCCAGTGAGCGCTCCAACTACATCTATTTCTTCACCATATTACAATGTTTGGTTAGAATTTTACAAGTCTTTCTGTAAAATCACATTTTACATTTTCTGCAAAATTTACAATTCTTAAAACTACTAGTACAGATACTAGATTCAGTTAAAGATACACGTTGCAACTTTGGTTATGTTGCAAATGTGGCATCACGTCTTCGTTTTTTATTCCACATTTAGATGAGAGTTTTTGGGAGGAAATCTGTGTGTATACAGTGACGCAAAAGTGTGTGGAATTCGACAGTAGGTGGGTACTTTTTTTATTTAACCAGTCGCTGCTATTTGTAATGTATGTAATGTAATGTGCCAAATCCCACAGGAAGAAGGTCAATAACGTCTTTCCCCTTGATAAAATTCACCAAACATTCTCTTTGTTCCGGCTTTAAATCCTCGATCTCGGGAATCGTTGCCAACACAGAATGTATGGCTTCTACATCCATCTCGTACGCTTTGTTTACTGTTGTGCTGTACCACAAGAGGAACCCAGACAGGCGCTTGAGTTTGACATCATTGCTTCACAGCTCTTTGCTGATTGGCCGGTGCGCAGTCTACAACTTCTGGGGTTCTTGCAAACTGTCTAGTGTATTCCAATTCCTGACCTAGTCACAGGAGAGAAATGAAATTGAGCAGAGGCACTAGGTGGGGCCAACCTGGCTAGTGTGAACCAGCTTGCCTCTTCACTGATCTGTAGCTTGACCTTGTGGTGTCACCATGGACTGTACCTATGAATATATAAAAATCTGTATGCGGCTCTTGTGGCTCCTTCTTACCCTGGCTCCCATCGACTTACATTGGGACATTGTGGTCCCTCTCTGTGTAACTGCTGCTTTGAGCCTCATCATTTTGGTCTTAAAATATTCGTACTAATCTGCTTTACATCTTGATGTTTTTGTTTTTTCACAATTTTATCCATCAAAAAATCCTATTCATAATACAAATCCTGGCTCCAAATTCTCCCCTGTAACCGTTATGACCGCGAGCTTCATTTGAGCGGCACTGAACGCTATGGGTGATGTCACACTCGTTTAGTCTACTTTTATATACAGTCTACAGGTGACACTTGGATGCAAACAATAACATCTCAATGGAAACAGACAAATTACATTGTGCATCTTTAAAAAAAAAATCAGTAGAGGTAGTCAGAGATACAAAAAACTAAAATTGGTGCTGTTGTCTCTGCAATTTGATCTCTTAGCATGTGATAATTCGACTTTTTATTTGGGCCCATCCTGATGTGTCTCCATTTAGAACTTGCAATGAATACTGAGTAGCTGAATTATAAAACATTGCTACAGAAAACAGTGTAAAAATATATTTACTACATAATAAAATAAGTGCACTAATTATAGTGAATCTTGCGAAAGTACCGTAATCCATCTGTGCTGATTACACTGTGGGCTTCTATACAGATATTCCCTGGTTGTTGTGATTGGGTGTAATGAGACAGGCCTGCTTCTCACACATCCACGGAGCACGAGCAGCTCTTTGTCTGTTTGTGAGTGCTCTACTTGAGATGTCAATGAGTGCCTCTCCTCTCAGCACACTGGGTTTATCTGAGAGCTCCAATCACTGTCTTTTCTCAGAATTCTGACCAAACCCTCTCAACCTGGACAAGATGCATCCTCTTTGTCATGGCAACCGCGGGATGGAGATGGAAAGGGAAGAGAAGAGAAAGTGAAGTAACAAAAATACGTCTTTACACAACAACCGTTTCATTCCTAACGCAAATATTATTGAGAGAATTACAATGAAATCGAAGAAATACTAAACTAGGACTTACGCTGACATTTTTATAGTGTCACTGTGCTTTTTAATGGCCTTTTAAAATGTATAAATGATTTTAAAAAAGCATTAAATGTGTAAATAAATATGCTGAGTACTGTATACTGCCCTACAAAGACAAAAGACCTTAACTCACCAGAGTGTCAAACTGAGAAAAATTACTTCAAAGTTTATTATAATAGGTAGGGCTCCCAAAATTTTACATCTAGTTGCTATAATGAAGAAATGCATGTATGAAAAAAATATCGAGCTCAAATTTGACCTTTGACCCTTATTTGGCAGCTACTGTACTCTGCTTTTGTATCATGAGCCAAAAATTGAGGCAGTAACTGTGTCATTTACTTCCTTTTGTCTTTGCAAAATATTTATTCACATGATAAAGGAGGTCTCAAATACCCCCAAAATGACATTAACTCATTTTTGAGCAAACGTGATGTTAAGGTATATAGGATTTCAACAGAAAATATCCCCAGTCACTTTCACAGGACACAAATAACCTTTCCTGAACAGCTTTAAAACAATCTTGAGCTGTATCAGAACAAGTAGAAGAGCACGTAGACTTGTATAAGAAAGAACAAACTACTACATAATGTTGAAAATGACGCTCTATTGTCTAAACAAAGTGTGTTTTTGTTATCATTTTATTGGAATCTGTATTGAGTATTGAGTCTATTTCTTAGTATTGAAATCAACACTAGTTCACACATATATAATAACAACATTATGACCAAACCGGGACTAAACCAGCACTAGACCAGGACTATATCAGGACCAAAAGAAAACAAAACTATTCTAAAATAAAACCAGTATCAAACCAGTATGAACC